CCCAATTGCCATTAGCCTCAATGTCTCTAACTACTTTCTCCTTCAAAATTTTTTCTAAGATCTTACATACTACAGATGTCAAACTAAAAGGCCTATAGTTACCCAGGTCACTTTTTTTCCCTTTCTTAAAAATCGGAACTATATTAGCAATTCTCCAGTCAAATGGTACAACCCCTGAGTTTAGAGATTTATTAAAAATTGTTGCTAATTGACTTGCAAGTTCATGTGCCAATTCCTTTAATATTCTTGGATGAAGATTATCTGGGCCCCCCGATTTACTCCCATTAAGCTGTTCAAGTTTGGCTTTTACCTCGGATATACCTCCATACCTTTAGTCCCATTTGTTATGTTACCATTATCCCTAAACTCTTCTTTAGCCTCATTAAAGACTGAAGCAAAGTATTTGTTCAAATATTGGTCATGGCTAGCCTGTGCCACCTCTTGCTGTACCATGGCTACATGTCAATTTTTAGCATGATAGCCAGATTAGAGATAGCACAAAGATGCCTATATGAACTAGGGTTGCCAACCCTCCAGCCTTGGCTTGGAGTCTCCCAGAATTAGCATTGATCTCCCAGTGACTTCTGTAAGCAATCTGGGAGGTCTGAGTAGGCTATTTTAAGGGGGGGGGGGGGGGATTTCTGGGAATAACTACAGGCAGAATTGGCAACCCTAATGTGAGCTGGGACTCATAACCCTTAGCACCGCATGTACATAAGAACATAAAAACAGCCATATTGGGTCAGACCAATGGTCCATCTAGTCCAGTATCCTGTCTGCTGACAGTGGCCAGCACCAGATGCCTCACAGGGAGAGATCACAATAGGTAATCCACACATAATCTCTCCCCTGTCACCCATCTCCAAAGAAACAGAGGCTAGGGACACCATTCCTACCCATCCTGGCTAAAAGGCATTAATGGACCTAATCTATCTAGCTCTTTTTTGAACCCTGTTAAAATTCTAGCCTTCCCAGCATCGTCTGGCAAGGAGTTCCACAGGTTGACTGTGCTTTGAGTGAAGAAAAACTTCCTTTTGTTTGTTTTAAACCTGCTGCCTGTTAATTTCATTTGGTGACCCCTACTTCTTATGTTGTGGGAATAAGTAAATAGCGTTTCCTTATTCACTAACAAAACATGTAGATGGTATCTCAAGCTTTCGTGGGCACAACCCACTTCTTCAGATCATTTCAATCGATTTTATAGAGAGAGCAGGATAAGATGAAGTCAGCTATGCCCACAAAAGCTCATGATACCATCTACATGCTTTGTTAGTCTGGTAGCACTTTAAAGACTATTTGTTGTTTTTTAAGTTTATCCTATACAGACTAACTCGGCTACGCCTCTGAAGTTTTTATTCATGGTGTGACTGTTGCTAAAGTAACCATATAGATTTCCTAATCTGAGAATAGTCTTCATTACCACTCTATAAAAATTGGTGTATGCAGCTGATTTCAAAAGGTCATTTGTGCTGCACTCTCTCTCTCCCTCAGCGTAAGCTCGAAATTTTTTAAATAGTTTCTAATGGTTGGGGCTTTGTTACGTATATTTCACACAAGTAATGAAAATACAAACTGGGTCTAGTAGAGGTCACGAGTTACGTAAATTAATGTAGAGTGAAGTTTGGAGTCCTTTCATTTTGATTGCTATCACAATTACAATAAGATGTAACCCATTAATTTTCTTCAGGAAGACTTTGGTACATAGGGATAATATTTGATCCTGGAAATGCTGTCTTCTTTGGAAGAAAAGGAAAATGTATCAAAATCAGACTTCCCTGGTCCATTTTAGACTGCAATTTTAGGGATAATCTGCCACTCTTGTTCATAGTGAGTAATAATTCACTTCTCCAATAGGCCAAATTATTTCACTCGAGCTTCGAGAGAGAACAAGAGACATACATCAAATAAAGGCGGCAGAATCTAGTCCTTCATATTGATTGATTGATTAAGCCAAATATTGTGCTGTGGTTTTCTATACAGACGTAGCATGTTCTGTCTTGTATATGAAGGAATATGCTATATGGAATCTTGATATTAATAGCATCTAGGCATTTTACATTCCCAAGGCAGTACCAGAAACCATGTGAGAGCTGCAAATCTGGTCCATAAATACAGTAATTTGTATCAGGATCAGATTTTATCAAACCCAAATGTTTTTATTTCCAAAATGTTGAATCTATTTTAAGCCTTTGTACAAATCTGTACGAATAGCCAGCCAAACAGGGCCAAATTCAGAGGTATATGCAGTGTTCCCTGTAAGCTGTACACGTCAGCGTCCACTCGAGAGATTAAAATGCTGCTTGGCTGATTAGAAGAGCGCACACAGTTAGGTTTCCTGTGGCAAAAGAAGTTAATAGATTCAATTTTATAAATTCAATATATGCTATTTAGTTCACAGTTTTTCCTTATATGCTTCAGTGTGCTTAGATTCCTAAGAATTAAAATTTTGTTATGCATTTGTTCTTCCCACAGTCTGAATGGAAAAAGACAAAAGTTTTAGACTGGTAGAGCAAAAGATTGTCTCACTGCCTGGGGAATGTTACTACAACACACTTTTTTTTTTAGTAATGAAAAAAACACTTTTAAAATATCTGTTATAAAACAAAAGCTTGTGTTTTGATTGTAATAGTAAAACAAATTAAACATTTTAAAAGCAAGCTGTTTATGCTGCTCTTGTGAGTTTCAGTTCTGGTCTCTGATTGTGTGGCCACACACATGCATGCGGTATGGTTTTGAGTGTGATTTTTTTTTAAATTCCTTCCCATTGATATGACCTTCTGTGTTTGGGTAAAATTTTGGTCAGGTTCAGGTGCATACCTACAAGTATGCTGAACCAAAAAAAGTGCTTATTGCATTTATTTTAGGTTATACACTAGTTTTACATTATCCCAGCTGGGTATTAAACAGAACTGAGTTACAGAACTGGCAGTATGCTGGAGAAAACCAGATGCGTACTCTAAGAAAACATTAGTTTCAGATCCAGAATTTTCATAGAAGTCTGCTTCATATTCACACTCCATATTGCTCTCCTTTTCCCTGAAAGAAATTGAGTTTTGTTCAAAAATGTGAGTAGTTGTTGTTGTTTTTGAAGTCCAAATGATTATTGGCAAGTTTAACATGCATGCAAATGTTATCTAGATTTTGCTTCAGAAAGAAAAGAACTTGGCTGGCACAGCAGCTCAGCTGGTAGCAAAATATCTTGCTCTATGGGATACCCTATTTTAAGTTCAACCACAGGCCGGCAATGGTATGAAGCCCCACATAAATGAAGCTCTCAGATCGACAAGTAAGAAGAGAGGAGCTAAGAGATTGCATTATTGATAGACATTTCCTATTGACAGGCCACAGAGTAGCCATCAAGTTTGGCTTCCACTGCAGAGGAAAATAAATGCAAAAGGTACAAGATAAATTCATGGAAGATAGGTCCATCAATGGCTATTAGACAGGATGGGTCAGAATGGTGTCCCTAGCCTCCGTCAGAGTCTGGGAATGGGTGATAGAAGAGGGTCACTTGATGGCTCCCTGTTCTGTTCACTCCCTCTGAGGTATCTGGTATGGGCCACTGTCAGCAGACAGGACACTGAACTAGATGGACCTTTGGTCTGACCCAGCATGACCGTTCTTATGCTTTTCTCTTCTTATGTAAGTTATGTAAAATGGCAGTTCTGAATAAGAAGGTGTTGCAAAACCTTTGAGGCCCATTCAAAATGAGTCCTATACTTGGGGAATGAGTGTGTACCTGATGAGCAAGGGAGAATCAGTGCTAAGCTACCTGGGCCAGCTGTCCTCTACCCCATAAACAAAGAGGCAAATGAATGTTAAATTATGTGTGTTTTTCCTAAATATATTTACAATGAATTGAAGCAGTTTTCTAAGACACGCTGTAGGCAAAGATCACGAACAATTTATTTCTGCTCTTTTGTATTTAAATTTTCTGTACTGCTAGGTTTCAGTTCTCAGTAATATACCTTACTGCAAATACCTTACTGTTTATTTCAGAACCTCATGGGTATGTAGGCTAATATTGCAGGTAAGCCAACAATCAAACCCGAAAGCCCCACCCAAACAAGAATTTTACTTGTTTTCTCATTGTGAAATATAATTTGGTCTCAACACAGATTTTTAAACATCTGTACAATGTTTTCATGTCAGATAATTGGCTTCATCAAGGAAACTTAATTAAAAAACAAACATACAACAAAAAAATCCATTCAATAACCAAGCCTTTCATTTTCACAAATGGGTAAATATCATCTGTGTAACTAACATTTAGAACTTGACGTAGTAAAGCAACTTGACAGTCTATTAGATTCATTCTTATTTTATTACTTTAAATAAGAAAAAGAATAGCTGCGTCATTTCAAGTGCAGGTGTGAAAGAAGCATCAATTCACAGACTACTTTAGGCTATAATAAACATTTGTCCCACTATTGCCATGTCTAAAGGGAAAGCAGATGTGAAATACAATTACTGAGCAAAGTTCTCTTCTGATGGAGAAACTGAATGGAAGCAGTAAGGTCCCTCCCACCTGAACAGCAACATGTATGGGAGTTCTGTGTCTTCTCAGTGAAATCTGAATGATATTCAGAGTTCTAATAAACAGAGAGCAGTGATTCATACTAGTATTAAGGCATCATTAAATCCCTCTGTATGGATGATACAGAAAAAAGTTTCCATAGAAATTACCATTGATACAAGTGGGAACATCCAACTTAAAAAAAAATCAGTGTTTCAAAATGCACTTATTTCCAAACACCTGTATTAGAATTATTTTTGACTTCTGAATTTTAAAATGGTAATTTTATTGTAGTGAAATGTATAAAGCATTTCATTCAAAAACTGAACATTTAAAAGTACATGTTTTTGATACATAAAATTTTTATGAAGCTGTTTATAGTGATAATTTTGTCTTTTTCTTGAGTAGTTACAGATAATTTAGCACCCATCAATAAATATGAATATAATAGTTAAATTGGATTATATAGGAATTAGGAGCATGTATTTTACTAGAAGGTAGTCATCAAGATTAGAATCAGAGTTAAGTATAAGTGAGTGTATGGTCTATGGGACCTTTGTTTTATCCTTTTAGTATTGAAAACTGGCTCATCCTTACTCTTATTTCTGAATCATTAAGTTCAATTCCCTCTCCAGTCATTCTTCCATTGGTCTCATATAATCTCTTCTAAAAGTGTTTTGAGAAATATAGGTATTTTTGTCAGATATTCTTCATTCCATAGGCCATTAATGAGTGTTTATTTCTAAATTAAATTCTGCTACGCTATACATAGCAACTTACAGTTGCTTCCCCATTTTCTCTGATAGACTCAGGACTGTAGCTTTTTTGCTTGCACAAACTTTGTTGTTTTCAACTTTCTTTGTTCTTTGAAGGTCCAAGAATTTAAGGGCCTCATGTTTCTGTATAAACCGAGGCAGAGTGAATATTTGTGTCTGAGAGAATCGAGTCTTGGTCTCTCTTAAATCCATTTTACTAAGGCCATGACTTGGGAAGATGGTTGCATGGGATCCTTTCCTTTCATAGAATAGAAATTGGGGGTCTTCTAGAATGTGACCATGGCCACAAAAATCTTAATACCATATTTTAGAACATTATTTTGTTAGGCTTGACTTTTTTTTGTAGTCAGATACCCATTCAAGTTCTTACTAATGCAATTTTAATTCAAAACACAGTAATATGAATTGTTAAATTTAATAAGCAGAAAGCATACTTTTAAAATTTTCAAATAGTTAATGAAATTCAGATCCACAGCTCTGAAATCTGCCTCATCTCTGGATTTCTTGTTGGATTAGCTGCAACTGTTTGTTGCACTTAAAAAGCAAACCCAAAAACAAATGAGACAGACTGACAAATTATATTTTTCCATTCTTAACGTTCTGGACTCCAGCTGGTGTATCAGCTTGATTGTCAACCCCAAGATTATGGAAGAACCTCCATTTATGTAGTTTCTTCACTGGAAAGAAACAAAAAAAACCATGGTCTTAAATACAGTCTACTAACTCGTGAAAACTGCTGCTTTGTTTTCTCTATGATTTTACCTCGACTTAGCTAATTCAAGTTAATACACTTTTTTTTCGTGACTGAAGAGTCAGCTTTAGACCAGTTTCAGAGAGGTAGCCATGTTGGTCTGCTTCAAAACAATGAGTTTGGTGGCATTTTAAAAACTAACACATTTATTGGGGCATAAGCGGTGATGAAAAGTTGTCTAGCAGCCTCCTGTTCATTTGATTATAATGTCAGAGTTGTTTTTGACGCCGTGGATAGCATTGCGTTCTGTATGGCTAAGGTTATGGGCCAAGTGATGTTGCTTGTTTAAAATTTCAACGTGTGTATGTCGGCAAAAGCAGTATATGTAGAAGTCCAGCTGGTTGTTGTGACAGTTAGGTGATGTCCATGCAGGATTTAGACCAATGAGTGGCCTTGAACCAAAAACCTGATTTTTAGGAACCATGGAATAACTTCTTTTGCTTCATCCATTGTTGCAAAGCATATATGATTGGTATAAAGGGAATAACTTGGATAGTTTTCAAATAAAATAAACTATTGTAAACGTTCTTCTGACTGCCAAGTACTGCCAACTACTTGCTCATGACTTCCTCACACATTAAAAAAGATCTCCTAGTACTCTGACTTCAAGTTTTACTGGAGTTACATTTTTGGGAAAGTATTTCTTTCCACACTTTTTGTGAAGAAGCATTTGTTTTTGTTTAAAAAAAAATTTTGCATGGAGTATATAATTTCTTATTTAAAATACAAGAGTCAGTATATTTATTCTCTTCCTTTGAACTTACAAGAAAACACAATACAATGGCTGTCCTGTGCTGCTATGTACAGGAGGTTTATGCCATTGTTGCATATAGTTTTCTCCACAGTTCTTCCAACTTGTTATGAGCCTGCAGTGTGCCGTAGAAATAATGTTTTGTTACCCTGACAACAAGAGCCAAATTTTTGGATGTTATTTTGCTTGTATTTTTTTTAGATGCTGCCAGTTATGATGTAAATTAAACATTTGCAGAGTTTACTTTTTCTAACACATTTTTCTGCATTTTTGTTCTGGACTCAAAATTAAATCAAGTAGATTGATGGACTGTTTTAGGTTTTTAAATGCCAAATATTATATTTATGGGATATGGGTAGATATTTGGTGAAGAGCGATGGTTAATTTCAGGCAGTATACTTTGCTACTTTTTATTTTTTACTTTATTTAAAAGGGATAAACTCCATCCAACTTAGCCTCTCATCAGAATTAAGGGATCCAAAATTCTACTGATAAGAAGTTACTTTCAAAGGGTTGCAATATTGCTTCCCATTAAATTGTCTGAAGATTTTGGCAACTGTCCAGATTTCATATTTCTCATAAAGGAGCGTCCTTTAGCCTAGATCTTGAACTTCTGTTTTTCAGGATAAGTAATCCCATCAGGAATTTGATAACTAGAGGATGAGACCAGCAACTTGACATTTTAGAACCCTATTTACATTGCCATATAAAAATGTAAAGGGAAAAATCCATGACCTTAGAATAGTGAGTAATCATCTCCCTCTTGGCTACATTATGTCACAACAAAATATTTCCCACCAGCCAGACACTGTGGTGACTCACGGTTTATTATTCGCTGAATAACTTTTATCTGTGCAGGGGAGAGAGTCTGGGTCACTCTTTTATGGCTTGTTCCTCATACATTTGTGTTCAGCAACAGCATCCCAGTCAGATTTCTATGAGATGGAATTATTATTCTCCATAGTATCCATTTCTTAAAAAAGACTCTATTATACCTTTGACTAAACCCCCAGAATATTAATCTGTAGAATAACATTTAAGATGAAACCCTTATTTAATGTTTTTCAAAGTAGGAAGTTACTGAAAAATTATATATA